ATATGAGGTTTCCTGTCATATGTTGAGAATTGAAAACCTTTGTGTGTGAACAGCATAATCCTTTTTTTGGAGTTGTCTGTTGGTTGTCAGATGTTTATAATTCTCTTCTCTGCACTGAAAACCACCGTATGAGTTTCCTTTCTTCGTTTTTAATTTCTTAATAGCCAAGCTGTTTAATAGAGTACTTTTTGATGGAAAGATTAGAAAAATAGTTTTAGTTTTGTGTTATCTGATCTTTTTAGAGCATTCTTTTAGTCTAATCATAAATAGATTGTTTTGGGATTTTCTGAACTTTTATCTGGCCTAAACAGCTATGGAAACTGACATTACTCTCCACCCTCTTATTAAAAGAATGACAACATATATAAGTTGGTTGTTTTGATACAAGAGGAGTATTCATTTATAGGTGAATTTAAAAATTTACAATCTAGGCCCTAGAATTAAGAGTATTGAAAATATGAAAGGTGCTTGTTAGGAGTTTGGATGTAGAAATGCCAGACTCCTGTCTCTTGAGTTGCATGTCAGAGGCAGAACAGTATCCACAGAGTATCTCATGTGTCTGTGGATCCATGATTACTCTACTTTTTGGAGGAATGAGAAGAATAAAGAGTAAAGAATTTTTTACTGTTCTTTGTGGGATTTATAAGTCCTCTGGTTGTCTTCTTTTCCTTAAAGAAAACTAAAACTGGAAATTAAAAAAAAAATCAAGTTCGAGATAGTATTTTGATTATTTTTTGAGGGGGTATAAGGAATAGAAAAGCCATAGGCAACTCTAATCTTTTGACTAATATCACATACCATGTTGGGCAACATGTTTGCTGGGAGGTTCTGCTTTAGGAGTCCTTACTTTGTCTGCAAGTGAGTCCTGTTTTAGCACTACAGTATCAGATGAATTCTTGTGCAGAAGGAACCTCAGTAGTCTTCTGAAAACTTTCAGTTTTCTGCTTTATGACTTGCTAGACAATTGATACTTTAATGATGTTGTATATGCTGAGCATTAATCCCCACCTATACTTTAAGCTTGCAGAAATTCTCAAACTTCAGTATTTTTGGTGGTATTTATTTTGCTGAAATAATGAATTTCCTGGGTTTCTTTATATTAGTAGAATTTAGAATTTTGCTTTTCTCCTTTATTATTTTAGTAAACATGAGAGTATTGAAACAATACTTGCATTAAATTGAATTCAAGTAATATCTAAGGCTACAGTCTGACATACTTTAGGATTTTTTTTCTATCTAACTGGTTTAGAAGATTAGAATTTGTAAACAGGACTCATCTATATTTGTAATATTTGGAATTTTATCTTATTTTTCTGCTACTTGCTGACATTTCCACAGATAAGCCATAAGTAAGTATGTATACACCCTTTTTTGGACTTGTGGTAATAGTACAGTTCTTCACGCTGCTTCTGTCTGTTTGTGAAAAGAATTGCATATGCATAAAAGTCAACATAATCTCACTCCTAAATTGACCTGTAATGGAATGTTTCCCCTATTAAAGCTCTACCTTGAGGAGAACTCATTAAACAACAGCACAGAGAGATTTTTCTCTCTGAAATTGACAATGTAGCTTATTGCTATTGCTATAGTATCTGTAGGTTTTTCCTCATTATTGTTTCTTAAATATTGAAACAATGCTTTACAAGTTTATTTACAAGTAAAGTACTCTTTTTAATCATGTTGGGAGTTGGGACTTCAGGGTCTTTTTGAGGGGAGGAGATTGTGGGGGGGTATTATTGAGAACATCTTAAGGAAAAATGAATGCCACTTAATAAATAAACCCCCTATTAATGGGAGTGAATTGGTCAACCTTTTTTTGCTGGGGGGCAGGGAACTTGGGGTTGAAAACCCTAAAGATGGAGTACCTTTTAAAAGGCACTAGAGGTCCTCAGATAACTATGACTATGTGGTACATCCAGGCTTCCTTTTCATGTGTTTATTTGGTAACACATCGTTCAGAATTATTCAGGGTGAGAACTTTGATGTGCTATTTCTGAAAATATACAAAGAGACCACATCTTACCTGATTTATGCCACTGTATTTGAGGAGGATTACTTTCTTGATTACTTAGGTTTACTTTGCTAGTATCATTTCTGTGTAAATTCACTGTTTTGATGAAAGTGAGGGATTTTTGTAGCATAGATAGCAAGATTTCTCTGATCAAACATGTCAAATAGTGTTGCATATTAAAAATGCTAGAGTATGAGGGGGGCTTCAGAAATAAACCTGAAGAATGCTGAGAGCTGAGGATTTAAGAGGGATGGATCCTGGAATAAAGTATTGAAATGTGGTTTATGTAGTGAAAGTTTTAATGAGATATTAACTTGGATTTTAGGTATCAAATGGGTTGAAGGCCATACGTATTTTAGCAATGAAACAAATAAAAGGAAATTTTGATGGATTGAGGTGTGTTACTGTTTTTTAAAGTTTGTGCGGTTAGTTTCAATTTTGCCTTCCAGGCTGTATTGCTTAATAACTAAGGACATCTGTAATTTTTGTGTATTTTCTGGTTTTGAAAATCATCAGTAGAATATAATTTAGGGTATTAAGAATGTCATGTCTGATGCCTAAATTGAATTTAAGTAAAATGGCATGGTATTAAATTAGAAGTTTGTATTCTCTGAATTTGCCTTTTAGAGTATCTTTTACAGTATTTGAGGACTTTCAATTTAGTTTGGTTTGTCAGTGTCATGATGTACTTTAAACCATGTTGATCATTGTATAGAGGATGTGAATGTGGCTTAATCACGAAACCTAACCTTCTGCCAAGGTTTCTCTGTTTTCTTAGTTCTGTGATCTTGCGCAGTTCACATTTTTGCATCTTTCCTAAATTGTGGAATAGTGATGTGGTATTAAATATATAATTAAGAGGACCAAATGAAACATTTGTGTATACTAGTAGTATATTTAGGAAATTGTTTTTTAAGAATAAAGAAAGATGTTTTAATAGGCTCTTCTCATTTCTGGGATTGGTAATAAATATATTGTCTAATTTAGAGACTGTAAATGTAACTTTTAAATTAAAAATTAAATATATTACATAATTTAATGCTATACATGTAATCAGTACATTATATAATACATTAACATATACATTAGCATTTTCTTTTCTGAAAATATTTTCCTATCTCTAGTGAGATTAAGAAACAATGCGTATGATTATATAACCCAAATGTGATTATTTTCCTTTATGCCTACTAAAATACAAATAAAATAGATTTGATATTTGAGTTTTAGGAATTGTTAGTGCTGTGACACCTCTTAGTAAAGCAAGTACTCTGGCTCTTTCACGTGTTTTTAAAACCTAATCAATGCCGTTTAATTTAAACGTCTTTCATATTTCTTCCATTTGATTTCATCTAACAGTTTTTATTAGCACTTACTATTAAACCATGTCTTCATAAACAGAGGCAGTACTTAACTGTCACTTTAAGGCATAGATGAACTAGTTGGGCATATGGTATGGTACTATCACATTATATTTGAAATATTAGCAGTCTCTATAACTATGTAATTTCTATTAACTGAGACATACTGGTGAGCTAAGGGTAACTTTAATAGTAGACTTTCTGCTCTATCCAGAAGTTGTGTACTTTTTAGAGCAATATGTGATACAGCAAAATTCTGATACAATAAAAGAACTCATGAATACCCAGTTTGAAATGTGAGAATATAATTTGATAGATATTTGAATAAAAATGCACAGATAAACATATCAGACACCTACACTGAATGACTTTTATGTAATATTAAAGGAAAAATATGAGTATAGAGATACGGAGAAGCAATTAGGATACCTCAGTGGTAGACAAAAATTAGGTTTTTGTATATCTTAAGGAAAGCTGCTTACAGAATTACAAAGGTCTTATTTATAGTGAGTAATAGAATTAATGTTTGTCACAGGAATTGAGAATTTTAGAGGTAAATTTTATTTTAACATATATATAAAATATAAAAAATAAAATCAATAAAATAGATATATTTTTCTGTGTGCCCTGACAGAGATATAAGAATGAGGAAACATTTATTTACTAAATTGAGAATTGTAACATAAAGAATAGGTAGAATTCAAACAGACGTCATAAAATTGATTGTGGCATCTCCGTTCCTGGCATTTATTTTATTTTCTCTTTTCCTTCTAAATCCAAGAAAGGAAATGGAATAACACTGGAGGATAATAACTTGATAAAAGTATAGGTATTTTATCAAATTTGTATGAAAAATAGATACTTAAGCATATTTGTGTGTCAAAATAACTTTATTTTTAAAGTGTCAAATTATTCTCTAACATTAGACTTTTTATGTGTTTGTGAAAGTATTTTAAAATTTCTAAACTTCTTTATGATACAATATTGGATTTAATATCAGTAACTGAATTTATTAACGTCATGGAATTTTTAGAAGTGTTTGTTGAAAGTTGACTGGACTTTACAGGAGAAAAATCCCTAAGCGCACTTTAAAAGTATCTTGCATTAAATATTCTTAAACTCCATTTTATTATTATTCACTGTATGATATTATAATGATAATATTGGAATAGGCAATATTAGTTCACATGTAAGTAGACAGTTCAGTCCTGCACTGTTTCTCAGCAGAGCATTTGATAACAAAATTAAGTCATTGTTTTTGCATGGAGAAATTAACCATTGCTACTACCAAATATGGTAACATAATTCGAAGGTTTTTTTAAATTGGCAGAAATTCACATTTGAAAAGCAAAATAAAAGTGAAAGTTAAATTAAAATGACAAACCAATAACCAGGATCAAAGATGAATACAACCCTTTTCATTTTAAAGTTGTCTCATTTTTTTTTACTGTCACTAAATGGTTAAGCAATTTATAAATTTAAGTACTTTGCCATGTCATTTTGTTATTTAACTTTGAACTGAAATTTATAAAATATAATTAACTCATTTTAATAGTTCAGATTATAGAAATCATAGGAATTAAGAATTACAGAAAGAAGAATTACCAAAGTCAGTGAAATCTGTTTCTTACCTTGGCTGGTGTGATCATCACAATATAAAGTATTGGGTCATATAAAGTCTATGGATGTTTAGCTGAGGAGTTTTCTGACTCTGTCACCAGGTTTATGGGAACAGTTGCAGTAGGTGGAGGAGAAAAAGTGTGCTAGGGAGGTCTTATGATGTCACATAGAAATTCTCAAGTTTCGATTGGTTAGCCATAGTCTTGGTCTTATCACAACCAAACTTTAGAACTTCTTAATTTAGGTATGGAAAAGTCATTAACACTTTGTGCTTCATCTTTTGTTTTTAATTTAAAACAGTATATGGCAGGTAAATGGAAGAAAAGGTAAATTTGAGGTGGTAGAAAGCTTTTGTTACAGATTCATGCATCTTCAGGCTTAGAGATAATAAGACATTTATATTCAATTATCTTCAGGCTTAGAGATAATTGAATATAAATGGTGAACATATTGAAGAAATAAGTTACTGCAGGAATTTTAATTATGAGAAAAATAAACACAGGTATAAGCAAAACAACTTTCATTGAATTCTTGCTGCTGTTGCTTTAATACCAATTCTTCATAATGTTAGCTTTTAGCAAGACAAAAATGAAGTATTTTTACATAATCAAATTTTATACCTGTTTTCTTCTTATTTTGTACTTGTTCTGTATATATGGGAGAAGCTGTGTGTATGAGAAAATCAGGCTAATAACTGCTTTTTGTTTAAAAAAATTATTTTTATCTTACAGCTAAAGTAAGAACTAATAAATATATTTAATTCATTTGGGTTTTCTTCAGTTAGCAGTTTAACAATATATTTGTGAATGCTAATTTTCGTATTTAAACTGATACATATAATCCCCCAAAAATAGCAATATGGTTCTTTAAGAATTGCTTTAAATTATTACACAAACTTACTAATTTTTTTTATAAGCAGTATTAAGGGCAACTTTATAGTAAAAAAGAAATAATTGCAGATTCCCAATCAGTTACATCTCAGTTAATGAGGCTTTATAGGTTTTCATGTGTTGAAATTAAGTTTTGTAATGTTTCTAAAAGGTTATGCCTCATTTAATCTAGTGGTTGCTTTTCTGAAAATTACTATACAAATGAGATGTTAGTGGAATGATATTTTGAACTTCCCAAAGCAGTTTATTTTACAGTATAACTGGGTAAATAATTTTTTTTTGTAAAGCTGGACATCATTCTCCTCTTCTCTGTTCATCTAATTTGTTGTCTTACATGTTAGATTTATTTAAGTCACCACATTTGAAAATACTGATTCTCAGATCTCTTCTTTAATTTTAGAGGAGATACATGTAATTTTTATTTTTTTAAATGCTTATGAGAGAGTGAACTTAGCCCACTTCACTTTCTTATGGCTAACTAAAATGTGTAGCAGCAGCTTTGTCCTTAAATGGAGATGATCTTGGCTTCTTCCAACGAGAAAGAAAATCTTTCTCCAGAGCAAATTGTTTGTTATTTAAAGAATCAGCTTAAAACTAACTGAAAAATAATATTTTAGCAATGATCTTCTGTGAACATTGCCAAGGGAAAATTTACAACTTAAACTCGTTAAGGAAATTGCATGAATAATAATTGACTCTCATTACTATCAGTTACCAATGATGATTGATCATATAAAACCTAGAAGCCTAAAGAGGTGTACAGTAATTTGTCAGAGATAACCAGCTGCTAAAGAAGAGACTGAGGATTAAAATCCAGATTAAATTATAATTTCTGATCTGTTAGCATACTGTGGGAAAAAATTATAACTTGAATATAGCTTTCATTAGAGTAGCATATACTAACTAAGAAATTTTAAACATGTGAATAGGTGAATTATTGAGCACCGTTAATCGTTTTAGAAAGTCTGCTTTAAGTTTGTCTAACAGTTACACATTGAACTGAAATTTAGGTGATAGATCATTGTTCTGAGAACTTCTTATTCTAAGAAAATTGAACTAGTAATACTCAATTGGGTAAACTAAGAAGCTGCCATAGACTGAATAAAATATACCCTAGTTACCACATATGTTTACAAGTTTACTTAAAAAGCATACATAGGCATATACACACCTTAGAAGGATACTTATAACTGTGTGTGACGTAGTTGGAAAATGGATTCAAAATTTTACCTTTTAGTTTTGTACAAGATTGGGGAGATTTTGTGTTTACCTTTTTCCTTGGGATTAGCTAGTGATGATGACGATAATGGTGATGATCCCACATACAACTCTAGGAAGTATCGTATTTTAGTTTTAACTAAACACTTTTTATTGCCCAAACAAAGTTGTTTAAAGGAGCGTTAGTCGGTTACAGTGTCATCAATAGAATGTTCCTCAGCAATTCCTCAACTAGAGCCTGGAAAATTTTTTTGAGATGCTTTGTCACAGTCTTCATTTGGAGTTACACGTAGTTTGAATGTATTTTTGGTCACGTGACTTTATACAAATAACCTCCCTAAGCTGCCAAACTTGCAGAATAGTACTTGTGATAGCTTAATGACACAAAGTGTACACAGTGATTATCAGAGATCCTGCAACAGTGTCCTATTAGTGTTAGTACTTATTTTCTTTTTTCCTTTAGAAGATGGATTCTTAAAGGTAAACTGTCTTTGAACTTGGATGGGAAAATAATTACAAATTCATTTTTAGTATGCTCTAAATGAAACTTAGTATTTTTTCAGTTTAAATTGAATCCTGGGTTCATTTCTTTACTTTTGTTTTTATATAGTTTTGTGGCATTTTAAATATATTTTTCAAAATCATTAGGTTTTTTTTGTTTGAGACAGTCTCACTGGGTCACCCAGGCTGGAGTCAGTAGTGCAATCTCGGTTCACTGCAACCTCCGCCTCCTGTGTTCAAGAGATTCTTCTGCCTCAGCCACCTGAGTAGCTGGGACTACAGGCGTGTGCCACCACACCCAGCTAGTTTTTGTATTTTTAGTAAAGATGAGTTTCACCATATTGGCCAGGCTGGTCTCGAACTCCTGACCTCATGATCTGCCTACCTCGGCCTCTCAAAGTGCAGGGATTACAGGCATGAGCTACGGCACCCTGCCGTATTACTTTTTGTTAAAAATATTATGATATATATAATAATCTTTTACATTGATTATTTAAACTCCAATCTGTAGTGGTGTTATCTGGAGGGCAAAGAAGCTTCAAGATAAAACAGTTTTTTTTGGAAATTGTTTTTGATAAGAAGTTAATTTAAATGACGACTAAATTAAAACATTTTAGTATTTAGACAGATACATAATATAGTAAAATGCAAGTTTTGAATGAATTTTTGTGACATTCACAATACATCAAAAATAAACTTTTTTTAGGTTAGATCTCCTAGACACCCAGGAGGAAGATTTTACCTAGCTTTTGAGGGTACTTAAGGGTTTGATAATTACTGCCTTAAATTTTAAAGCTACATAGGAAAGGACTAGTTTGAAAAACATCTAAGCAAAAATGAGAATGAGAATAGTGGTCTGAGATTGAGAGGATGGAAATTCTTTCCCTAGGGCAATAGGGAAGAGAAAATAAGATTTACTCATTAAATGGGGTTGGGGGCCATTAATATAACCCAATGATAAAGTAACCTATAAACCTTAGGGGTCATTTGGGGGAGGTAGGTTCCCTTTTCAGTTGATTTGCCAGATATCTGGAGACCCATTTTATTTTTTCATAAATGGCTAAATTCTGGGCAAGTTGTCTATCCTTATCTTGATGAGGGTTGGAGAAGAGCATTGACATCAAGAGAGGCCAGATGGATTAAGCAAAGGACTCCTGTAGGTCTACGTAATATTTGGAAAAGTTATGAAACATTCTAAGTGATAGAATTGTTATAGCATGCTACGTGGCTTCATGGAAATTGTTTATTGGTATACAAGTAATAAGGAAATGAAAATTTAACATTTAGAAGTTAACCACTAGTTCAAGATAACACCAGGAGAAAAATGAAATTCCCAGTTGAGAGTCAAATGAGCACATACAATAATAAACAGTATGACTTCTACGAGAAATATGTATTTTACACAGAGGAAGCTGACAGGCCAAAATAACAAAGGGAAACACACTAAAAAACAAATTGAACAAAAACCAACCCTTAGGTCTCCAGATACTTGCCTCAGAATTCTATAGAGTCCAGATCATGATGCTGTTAAAATTGTTACGAATGTTCCAGTTCAATTCAATGATTGTAGTGTTTCCCCAGATGCATTACATTCCTTATTTTTGTGGTTGGTATCTCAGCCCTTTGGCACTATCACTGATTTTGATACAGAATTGAAATCAGAGGTTCATACTTTTTCTGTCTTCTACCAGACTCCCCATTCACTTAGAAACCAAATGCAGATTGTGAAATATAAATGTTTCTTCTCATAGCCTGACAGACTCTCCTCTGAACTTTCATAGACATTTATTAACTAGTCTTTCTACCCTCCCTCATGACCCTTTCCCACTCAGTTTTTACTCTGATATCTGAGTGCATATTTTATTGCCATTCACATGCTAAGAACTTTTCATTGTATTGATTTCTCTTTCAAGATGAAAAACCCACTCTTTACAGAATTAAGTAAAACGTTTCCTTATCTTTCCTTTGCCATGTATGTCTTCCATAACGGTTTGACAACTCTGTCATTACGTGTTATTTCTTCTATCCAAAATATTTCCCTTACTCTCTTGTTCTTATGGAACCTCCTTCTTTATTCAGAATTAAATGGGGAGAAGCCCTGTTTTGCTTGTTCTTAATTTTTAATTTATATAAGTAATAAGTGAATATCTCCTGTAATTCAGAAAAGTCAGATAAATCTGAAGTTGGTGGGGGACTTTCTATATTATATAGGTACATTTATTTTCTTTGCCATAAACATCATGAATAGAGACTATTTTTTTCTAAGCTTTACACACTGCTTATCCCTGAGAAGACTCAATAAGCTATTTTTACATTTAATGGATATTTAGAATATTATTTTACCATTACAAGTAAATTCTTAAAAAGGATAAGTTGAAAGAAGAGAGAAGAGAATCCCTCAGAAACTTAGATAAATTGCTTTTTTTTGTTACTAATGATTGTCCCTGAAAAGTTGAGATTTTTCTTGCTCTTAATTCTTTATAACTTGTTCACGCTTTGACATATGTGTAACATCAAAAAAAAAAAATCAACAAATTGAGT